GGAGTGTGTGGGGAGGGGACCCAGAAGGTGGGAGTGTGTGGGGAGGGAACCCAGAAGGTGGGAGTGTGTTGGGGAGACAACCCAGAAGACTCCCGAGCTGCTCTTCCTCAGTCTCACCCCTCCCACAGGTTAATCAACCCCTGGAAGAACTCTAGAACACACGGGGAAATCAGTAATAACACTTACCATCTGTCTCATGTTCGTCCGTGGCTTCCCGGGAGCAAGAGCTCGCAGCGCGGTAGTCCATGAGCTCTGGGGGTTGTATGTAGAAGTATTTCTAGCCCCCGTATTTGTGCTGTGCTCAGAGAGCTCTTTAATATTATGACTGCCAGTGCGTGAGCAGAAGACTCAGACTTCTTAGTATGTCATTTAGATTGCTGTCACTCAGCCAGGATCACAGTTCCTGAATAGCTCGCTTCCTACCCAGAATGCCGCAGTCCTTGCATTCCATTTGTGTTTTGATAATTATTTATATTTTACATCTGATGCTGGTGATGTCTCAAAGCTGCTCAGTTCCAGCTTGTTGTGCTTGATTTTATTTCTAGAAAGGCCATTTTGGGAAGTGCTTTCCGTCGTGACTACTTGATATGAAACAAATCTTAGGTTGTTATAGTCAGGGTACTAGTTCCTGCTTCCTAGATCCGAGTCTGTGTGCGGCTGGACAACACTTGGTGACCTTGCCAGATCCCCTGGCTGTGGGGACTCGTGTTCCTGAACCGCTGAGATTGAAGAGACACCGACACCTCTTTTTTTCTCTGTCCGTAGGGATGTCACTACAAGCAAAGCAGCATGCGGAAAAGGCCAAAGAAATCCTGGCCATCTCCATGGAGAGTCCCTATCACGACAATACAGAGGTCTTCAAGTGCTCCATAGAGCTTTTCTACACCACGGGGAGAGCCCTGCTCGCCCTGCAAAAGTATCCTTTTGCTTCTAATCCTCCCCAGCAGAAAGCGCCGGTTCTGAAATTCTTACAGTTAATCCTCAAACAAAAAGTTGCTATTCAGGAATAACAGTATTGTATGAGCAAGGAAAGTGCAGGAGATGGGGTTCCAGAATCTAGGAGCCAGCGGGACTTTTCCTGAACATCTTTCAGATTTAAAGAAGCCGCGGAGAACTTGTTGAAAGCTGAACGACTTTCCAAGGAGATGCTGCAGTGTGGGAACATTGTAAAGGAGGAGTGGGTAGAAATCCAAGCTCGGATCAAGCTGTCGTTTGCACAGTAAGTTCCGGTTTAGAACTCATATGTATGTTGACTAAAGGCTGTTGGGCTCTGTCCATGGCTTCCCCAAGGCCATTGTCCAGTAAAGAAGAGCAAGGCTGTCATATCAGAACAGCCCCAACCAAGACAAACCCCAGTGATGCTTGCTTGTCACTTGATGTAGAATATACTCATACCACCACCCCTGTGGTTGCAGAGATCCTCTCATCCCCGACTCTCTTCCTGCCAGCTCTGCCCATCCCTATTGCCCCTTCTTCCCTCTCCTTCCCCTGTCCTCTCGCCCACCCCAGCTTTGTTACCGTTCATCCCAGGAAGCTTTGCTGATATTGAAGATGTTTTTCTGAGGTTCTGCCCCTGGGATGGGATTCCTAGGTTACAGGATATCAGCAGTGTGAGCTCACTAGGCACTGACCCATTGCCATGCCTAACTATGTGGTCACTTGCAGGGTGAATGGGGTCCCATCTTGTTATAACTCCCAACAATATTTGGCACTGTAACTCTTTCTAACTTGCTCCCTGAAGTATGTACCAAGCTACCCAATTATTTTTAAAATTCCATTTACGTTTCTTATTGAATTAATGAGTCTGAATCCCGCTGTATACCTCTGAGAATTTGAGATTCTCCTTCCACAAATAGCCTGTTAAGGTCTATCTTATTTTTCTTTTGGAATTTTCTGTGTTGCTCATACTAATAATTGAGATTTTTCTTATGTTGTACATGTGAATTATGTTGAATATATTTTCTTATATCCATTGCCCTTTATTTTGTCTGTGGCGTTCTTCATAATATAGAAATTCTTCATTTTACCAGAGTCATAACCAATCATTTTTTCCTTTTTGCTTTATGCCTTTGAATTTTGCTTAGAAAATATTTTTCATGCAAATATCAAAGAGTTTCTATAATTTCCCTCTGCCTCATATGTTTTAAGATACTAAAAAAATATATGTGTATATGTGTGGGTCTGTGCACATGAGTGCAGTGACTGAGGAGGCCAGAAGGGGGAGTCAGATCCCTGGCACTGTAGTTAAGATGATTGTGATCCACCTGATGTGGGTGCTGGGAACCAAATTGGGGTCCTCTGCAGGAGCAGTACCTGCTGTTAAACTCTCCAGCCTCTACCTCACGTTTTAAAGGTGGTGTTACTGCTCCTTACATTCTTAGTATTTCATCCCTCAGTTTAGAAACTTCACTTTGGATAATCCAAAGATTATCCAAATTAGGGACTTTAGTCTGCAGATGGATTGATTTTTCGAGCTATCCCACTGTTAACTGATTTTCTAGCTGTGGCATTATGGGTAGAAGCTTGCCTGCTTAGAAGCACCTCTGAAATGGATGTGTTTTCTTTTGTCAGCGACTCCCCCACTCAGCTCCTAGAATGTTCCCAATGGCACAGAAGAAGCTCCATTCTTTATTGTGTGTGTGTGTGTGTGTGAGAGAGAGAGAGAGAGAGAGAGAGAGAGAGATGACTTAATGAGTTCGTATAATATGAATTGTATTAATTTCTGATATTCATATGTACGCCTTAACACACACATACATTTTGAGACAGGATTTCTCTGTGTAGACCTGGGAGCCCTAGAATTAGCTCGGTAGACCAGGCTGGTCTCGAACTCGGAGATTTCCCTTGCCGTTTCCTTCCAAGTACTGGGTTTAAAGGCGTGAACCATTGCTCCCAGCACATCTTAAATGGTTTTTAAACTGATGCATTAGTGTTTAGATGAGTGTATTTAAACCCCCCAAGTGTGATCAATGTTTTGTCTATGTCCTGTGGTTTGCTATTGTTTCACATACCCAAGGTGGTTTTGCCGAAGGGGAGGAGCGCCCGCAGCACCCCTTCCTTTGGTCACTTCTCATCTCTGCTCTAGTGTTTGTGTTGCTGTGGTGAAGAACCCTGACCAAAGGCAACAAGGAGTGGGAGGAGGCGGGGTTTATTTGGCTTACAATTTGTTATAGTTCTGTTAGTGTAGAAGTCAAAGCAGAAACTCAAAACGTCACTCCCCAGAGTCAAAAGCAGACAGATGGAGAAGTACCAGGCGCCCAGAGCCTGTTCCATCTCACCAGGCATCGGAGAATGAGAGCTAAAGTCATAAGATAATGCCGCAGTCCCAGGAAAAGGCCGAAACCTTTGGAAAGATTAATAGTACCAAGTGTTGGCAAAGACGTGCACTCAGAAATGCCCTCTCCCTCGTACCTTCTTGGCTGTTCTGGATAGGCCTCTTAGAAAACTGTTTGCCATTATCTCCTAAATCTGAACGTCTTCACACTCTTTGACCCAACGGTATCACCCATAATGTATACTCAGCAGAAATCTTTGAGTGTTTATTCACCAAAACACACATCCAAGTATGTTCCCAGCCTTATTATTCAATAGCCAAGAACTGAGAACAGCCCAAATGTCCTCAAAAGGAAGCTGAAGATCTGCGATCTGTTCGTATACAAAGGCATTGTCAAGCCGCTTGTTACATAACGTCATGAATGACTCTCACAAACACAGTATTCAGTGACAGAAACCAGACCCCAAATATGCAAACTGGTCCCATTCACAGAACTGAAGGAAAAAGCTCATTTGTTGGTGACCGGAGGGCTAACCCACACAGCGTCTCTGCCTGCTCAACACGAGACGCTTTTTTATCCCATTGTGCAGGAGGTATACAAATGTGAAGCCCCAGATCTGATATTGGCTGCATCTGTTGAGACCTGACTAATGCGTCAGTTCTTAGTGTTGAGCACTGTTGCTACAAAACATTGAGGTATCCTCTGCCAGAATCTGGCGCCACCTTAAGAGCGCTTGCCAAATCGCAATACCAAACGTTGACAGCAGGTGGCGAGCTTTGTCCACATCTGTGTCGAACAACACTCAAGAATTTAAAGGCCCAGTTAAACTCTTCAGAGATGCCTTTGGTTATAATAGAATTGTTTCCCATCCTGCCACGTCCTTCTTTCCTGGTTCTTCGCTCTGACATTTTCCACAGAACTTGTGTGTTTAAAATGCGCGATTTTCCTTTACTCTCTTTGCTTTGTGTTCTCATGGAAAGGGGAATATTTTGTTCCAACAGACTTGCTTTAGAAAGAAACAAGGCTTTGCTTTTGGCGTGCTTGTAGTTACGCTTGAACTGCGTGGCATTTTCTCTCTTGAGTCTTGGGACTGGAAGGCCAGGGGAAGGTCTCGGGCAGCCTTTGGATTTCCGCCCCTCTTAAAAGGACATCTTTTAGTGTGCTTCTCCTTTTATGGTGGCTACCAGGCAGGCCTGGCACAGATAGTTAGGGCTGCAAAGTGACTCCCGCACAGACTTCTGCCCCTGTAGGAGGTCTGGGGCGCCTTCCCTCCATGCCCCATCCTTTCTCCCTTCTATAGCACCACTGAATTCAGTCATGACTTACTAATTTGCAGAGTGCCAAAGTGTTTCTGAGTTGTTTCCATCAGAAAGTCACCAGCAAAAATGGGAGTACTTTCCCCCCAGTGCTCAGCACTGCATTCTGTTCTGGGAACTCACACGGAGCTCCCGGAGGTGGATACTTACCTTTATACATACAGGTGTGTGGGCACCAATGCACAGCCCTCTTTCCAATAACGAGGTACAGTTGCTGATGGCTATACACGGATATGATGATCCATCGCCACACCCAGCTCTCTCCGTGACCGTGTGACATCATGTTTGGAGTCTTCCCCAGCTTGGTCTATGAGCACCCGAGTCACCCAGCTGTGCTGAACTAACCCAGGAATGAGCAGACGCATTTTTTTCCCTCAAGCATCAAGAGGGCCACCTGCCAAGTGTTTCTAAGCAGGGTGACGTGATGTGAGGGTGGGTTGTGAATCAGCACCCTGGGTTCAAGTTGGGGTTCGTTCAAACCACCCTACTGGGAGGACACGGGCAAACCCCTGCCTCCTGTGTGTCTCACTCTCCTCCCTAGCCACTGCGCAAAGAACAGGATCTCAGAAAGTGGCTGTGAGGATTAAGTAGGCACTAGACTAAACATATGGTGGTCCCTTAAAAAGAGAAGAGCAGGACAATATGGAGAAGAGAGGCAGGGATGGCAGGGGAGAGAAGAGGAGAGGGGAAGGGAGAGGAAGGGGAGGGGAGTGGAGGGGAGGGGAGGGGAGAGGAGAATAAAAGGCACATTAACTACCAGTTACTGATGCCTTCTGTGGCAAGCTCTTGAATACATTATTTACTTTACTCTCAGTCCTTACTGCAAGGTGGATACTCTTATATTCCTATTTGCATAGGAGCTAAGGCTGAAAAATGGCATTCCCCAAGTCACACCATGGGGAAGTGACCAGACAGAACCTTCTCGCTCCTTCCTTCCTTCCTTCCTTCCTTCCTTCCTTCCTTCCTTCCTTCCTTCCTTCCTTTCTATTTCTGTTTGTTTGTTTCTTTGCTTGTTTTGAGACAGGCTCTCCCTATATAGCTCTGGATGTCCTGGAACTCACTGTGTAGAACAAGCTGGCCTGGAGCTCACAGAAATCTGCCTGCCTCTGCCTCCGGAGTGCTGGAATTAAAGGAGTGCACACCACTCCCAGTCTAGAGCCTGCTCTTTCAAATCAGTGCCCGGGCTGCTGTGCACAGTACAGAGTAATTCACTAGTGCTGACTGGCGTTCTGGCCACGTGGTCAACAGCAACGCTCCACCATGCGTGGAGAGGGGCGCAGATGCAAATCTTTTCAAACATGGACTCTTGGAAGCCTCACTTGTGCTCCTTGGAGACTGTGTTCTCATCATATTGTTCCCACACAGTTCTTTCCATTCACTGAAGTGCAGCGTTCTCACCAAACCCCAGAACTTCTAAGAGCAGACTCTGTAACTTCAGTAACACGAAAGGAGACTGCTTTGTTTAGTGTGCACAGAGCGAGTGTGCATCCCTGCATTAGATGTCATGTGCTCTGTGCAGTGACTGTGGATATATTTTCATTCAATAAAATATGCCATGGTGTAAGTTGTGAACCTGCCAAACATACTGTCGCATTCTGTTGTTCAGAATTCTCTGTCTTTTCGTCTGT